CTGGGAAGAAGTACCAGCCATTTGTCTGTCTTGATCGAAATAAACAGGAATGATGAAGGAAAAAAGAGAATAGTCACGTCCAATTCCGACGAAAGCAGAAGTATGAAAAACTGAAGAAGGTGGGAGTTTGTAAAATTCTCTTAGGTAAATTGGAAAGCATAACAATCAAATGAGGGGTCCCCCTTATTTATAGGAACGCAAATGCTCTGAGCGGGAAACCCGAGAGCCGCCAATCGAATAATTGAAAGGGCACGAGAAACGATACGGTGCCTGGGGAACGTGCGCCATAATGACGCATAACAGGTATTTATGGTACCCTGAATCGATGTGACGATCCATCTCTGAACTGACGTAACGGCCCAGTAAAGTCCCTGAAGCGTCACGTCGCTACCTCGCCATAAGGATCTTGTCCCTCGCACCATGTCCAGATTTCTCATAACTTTTGAATTAACAGAATCCGCCCATTGAGCTCGCCAAAAGGTGACCTCAACAGGCGGAGAGATTAACTGTATGGGTCAAAATCTGACCACCAAACGGTTATCATTAAAGGGAATGGTAAGGGGTCGACCAAGCCATGGTCGTGCCCATGAGGTGTAATGACGACGAGTATCTCGGCCACTGCCGAGATCGAGCCATCGGAAGGCTTACATAACAGAATGTAACACTAGGGTGAGTGAGGAAGTATGCAGTCAAAAACCGTTGGGTAAAAGGGGAAATTGACAATATACATAAGGAGGGTAAAGCAGAAAGAAAGGGGGAATCTGGCAAGAAGCAAAAGAAACAGAAAACACGGGAGAGACCTCCAAGGAACAAAGGAAGAAGTCTAGATTTTGGGTTACAAATCTTTGTAATCTCCATTGTTGAATCAATACAGCTAGATCTCATAGTTATCAACGAGATTCCTTCCTTATCTTCTTTGCTTTTACAAATACGGAACATTATATCAAAGATGTAAGCTCATTATTTACATTTAATGTCTTCCAATCATCCTAAAAAATGTTGTATAAACTCGATCTCTTTGATTTTAGTATCCATTATGCTTAGATCTAAAGTCGATTATGTTTGACTAAGATTTACCCTCTATTTTATCATTAATTAGTTTAACTAAAATGCTTAGCACTTTTTGGTCAAACAAGAACAAAAAGATATTCGTTTGAAAATGCAAAAATAGAGCTTAAAACAGAATCTTTGAGCTTGACGTCCGATACCTCTAGAATTTGATTTCTTGAATCTTACCCATTGGGGAAAGTTTGTTTGCCACTAACTTATTTGGAAATCATTCACTAACAATCAAACAATTTCAAGATGACAATTTACTGAATGCAATTTGTTGGCTTCTGGAGCACTGAAGTGTCCTTTCGTTGGTAAGGCGCAGATACACATGATTTAAACAAGCCCGTCTTCCAAGTTTCTCTTCTTTTTTATGGACCTAATTAAGTCATTTGTAGGATAGGCCCAACCCATATTCCACTGCAAGGCCCATTATTGAGACTAAGCAACCTCCGCTCCAAGGGGATTGATAGGAGGAATTTTTACATTCCTATACCACATAGGAAACCTTTTTACCCTACATGTATAAGGTTTGAGTAAATTACACTTAGTATACCAAATTACCAATTCTATACCATACTTAATTAAGGGTCTAATTAATGGGCAGTTTTTACTCCTTACTTAAAGGTGTCCATATATCCCACATTTTACTCCTTAATCATAGGTGTCCGTTTTTCCCCTCCCCTTTCTTCCTCTTCTCCATTCCTTCTTCTTCTCAAAAAATACAGAGATGGAAATTACAATTTTGTTACGTACGAAATAGTAGGGCCCACGCTTTCCTATTTCTTTTCGGATTCAAAATCATATTCTTATGCTTTTACGACATAGAGCTACTGCCTTTTTGGTATGTAAGCAAAAGCAAT